TATATATATCACCAGTTATTGTTTGGTGACAGTACTGATAACTAAAAATGTTTCCGGCCTTAAATGCTGATAAGCACCAATTCATACCCTTATTTATTTAAAGTATATTAAATATTTCTTACTTTTTCTTTAGTTAAAAGACCCATCATAGTAGGTGGAATTATACCCGTTATAGCACCAAATGTGTTCATTATTACAGAAATTTTATCTGGAATATAAGAAGAATAGTTAAAAAACATATTTATTCTGTATAAACAAAAACGCCTTTCGAATATCAATAGCATCATATACCAGACCTCTCAAACACGATCAAACATTTGAAAAAAAACTACAAGAAAATGAAGGGAGATACAAATGTATGTTTCGTTAAGAAACAGACTGTCTTTTTCATCAAATTTTAAAATTACTTACAGAGTTTATCAACAGATGGAGTTGCAAACTAAAAAACTCGTTTCTTTCAGCTGTATGTCAGACCATTCCAACATAAATATTTCTGACTGGTATCTATTACTTTTATCATACTATTGCCGAAAAATGTGGTAATTCCGAAAACATAATTTTGCAATTTTCTAACATTAGCAGTGCCATCTTTTAACGAAATTTTTCAACTAATTTTAAACTTTATGAGATAAAAATCTTGTTTCCAAAGTAGAACGCAGTAAAATATGCGTTTCTATCTTCTCAATTTCTTTTCCAATTGCTTTTTCAAGTCGCCAGCCATTTTCACGGGCACTCAGTAGAATTACAACATTAAACTAAGGAAATAATTAAACTAATAGACTTGTAATGTTAGGTTTTCAGAAAAATGCCACGTACTCTAGATTTTTCACTAAACTTTACAACAGAAAAAACCGCAGAAAACCAACTTGTTTATTCAGTTTAGATGCTGTAATCCATATTATCTTCAGCGAAGGTTTTCAGTTTTCGCATGAAAAAAATGTTCACAGATAAAATCAACGAAAAACAAAAAGATTCCAGCAACTTTGTTACTTAGCTACATTCTCTCAGATAAATTTTAACTCCCTCGTGATTTTGTTTTTTGAAGGAAGATTTTGTGTAGGATATTCAGCGAATGATCAAATGTAATTCAAAATTCTTTATTTCTCTTTCAATTCAAATTCTTTAATTCCCTGTTATAGGGTAAACCAACCAGTGAAGGAACATTTCATATATATTTATCAAAAATAAGAATTTGAAAGTTTTTCTTTAGATTGATTGGTAACAATAGCTTACTGCCAAACAATAGGAAATCATCTAGCAATGTTTTGGATTACCTGGTCAAATAGACTTTACCGGAAAAATTTTTGAATTTGTTATTATCTCTGCAACACCTTGTTTCTTTGAAAAAATTATAAGATGAGTGTTTGTATTTATATGTTTGAAGTGGAATTAAATGCATGTAATAGTTTTAATTTTCTCACCGTGAAAAAGAGAATTTAAAATATAGTTATTGAAGTTACGTTTTATTTTTTTAAGCATCATAACATAATAAGGTACTGAGATAAGGGGGTGTTTATTCACTGGATCACCAAACGATGAAAAACCAGTGAAGGAGCATGTGGTTTTAATTTTCATTTTCAATTATGGCTATAACTATAATAAAAAATATGATTTTATGTAATTTTGATTATATAGCTGCTATCAGAATTATTAATTGCAATTATGACTTTAATTTTCTTGTACCTTTAGTGATGTTCCGCATCAAAAGTATGTTAAAAATGCGAAAAACAACTTCTGACCAGTGGGGGAGCAGGCATGTTCCTTTACTGGGCATAGATTTCCCAGTGAATGAACAGTATGTTTTAATATGTTGACACTTTAATTTTCAATTCATCATTACAAAAAAAAGTTTACATTTTCCAAGTATTTATATGTTATAATTTCAAGAATAGGCTTGTTTTCAAATATTTGTATGGCTTATAAACTCATAAAAAGCATTAAAAAATAACCAAAATTAAGTGTTCCTTTACTGGGTGTTCATTCACTGGTAAGAGCTGTTCCTTCATTTGGTCTTCTTACTACTTGTTATTTGAACCTCCAAAATTTTACAACAATATTATGTAAGTTCTCTACAATTTTTTTACATGATTTGCAATTAGTAACAAATATGTTGACACTGTCATTTAAATAAAATTACGAATTTTGAAATTAATGTGATTTTTTGAAAGGCAAGCGAAGCTTAAGTGTTTCTTCACTGGTTAGTTTACCCTAGTTCTCTCTTTCTCAGGAGATAACATATGGTCGCACTCTGCTATTTTATAACCGATGTAATATTTTATCGTAACAACTGCAACGTGTAATTTTAAAATGTCTGCAGAGAACCTGGTCCAAAGATTATATGGTGAACACTCAGTGTTGAAATTATAATTTTATTAACATTTAGAATCCCACTGACGATTCTAATTTTTCAAAAATTTCTATCACCATTTTTACTTTTTGCATTGAGGAAGAAGAGGAAAAAGGTAACCAAATTTTTTTTAAAGTTTCGAGTGCAAAAAGCTTTTAAATAGGAAAATCTCCAATCGCTGCGTAAAATTTCCAATTACTGGTTTTTAAATTCGTAATATATTAAGGAAATCAAAAATAGCGTGATTTTTCTGGATAAAATACCAAGCAGGAAGTCGTTTTCTTACCACTCTTTCTTCTTTGACACTACAACCTAAAGCTGGCGTTGCAGTCTTATTCAGTGGTCACTATTATTGTATATCCAACGTCATAAACTTCCATTTTTCGACACCCAGCGCCCAGAGGTCTTTTTTAGCACTGTAAACCCATCTAACGAAGAGCTTGACACTAACCTCTTTTCTTGACATCTGAGGACTTGCTAAGAATATCAGAATTTTTTCTGGGTTGAGGCGCTAACAATTTTTACATAATGACATTTTCTAATCAAAGTAAAATATCGTATCCTCCAATGTTTATTCCTGTTTATTGTTATAAATTTTACTAATTGTGCTAGCACGGAATTAACCGATGTGTTTATGAAAGCAAATGAGTGATATTCATTGCGAGACATTAAGTGTTCTAAGATTTAAAGAAATTGTATTTCATTTTATAACTGGCATTGATCTGCCGATTCAATTCTGACTTTGAGGCAATTGATGATAAACTCCATAAGCCTTCTAATTTTGAAGTCAGCCTCGAAAGCAAGGGAACTATTGGATCAATCGTAGAGACAAACTAGCCTTCGTGAAAGACTTTATGATGGAGCTAACAAACATTTGCTTTACATGGTGATTTGGACAAACCTCCCATGGTTAGTCCGACGCCAAAGGGTTCTAACCAGGGGCGGATCTACTTAAGGGCTTTTTGGGCTGCAGCCCAGGGCCCCGTGGTTACAAAGGGCCCCAGTCCCCACTGAAAACAATAGGTGATATTTTGAATTCAAAAGAATATCTAATGTTAAAAAAAAACTATTATAAGTTGGCAATCCTGAGATCAATCACCCCATGCATGTGCGCGTCTATCGAACGGAACGGGGAATTCTCCGTTGCTTGTTTTTCATCAGTGTATTTTTTCGCGTCTAGTACGAGGGACTTCCCGCCACGCCGCTTAACGCCCGACTTAATTTTGTTTTTTTTCCGCACTTCTGTTCTCGTCGTCAAAGTGACAAACTTGTTTAGTTTACTAATAAATGATAACTTAAAAGTTGTAAAGACCGGACCTTTCTCTCATTTTACTTATAATTGAAAGTACATAATCAGTATAAAAAAAGATTTCCTGCTCTTAGTTGGTAAAAAGAATTATAAATCATGTATTTTTTTCTTTTTAATGTATTTTTTCAATACTAAATGAACTTTTTAATTGATTTTTAATGATAATTTGTGAATTGCTGAACTCATTACAAAATATTAAAATGTGAAGCGAGGAACAATATTACATGGATTATTTCGTTCCCTGTTTATTACCAGAAAATTATCAAGCTGATTGTTTATTTTCAGAAAAAATATCAAAGTCTTATTTTACAATAAGTTGGAAGAAAATATAAAAGTGGAGCTGAGAAACGGAAATTACAGCTAGATCGAGAAAAAGAAAGAAAGAAATGTGCAAAAATTGAAACTTTTTTCAAATTAGAACATAAAAACGAGAATGAAATAGCTACAAGTTTATTAACAAGTGAAAAGGAAGAGGTCTTATCCGCAGTCTATTTGAAGAACAGAACATCCTCTCACATGAAATGACTGATTTTCAAAGTAAAGATCCGAAAAATATATATTCAGCTTCAATAAAAAAACACAAAGAACAAAACAGAATATTTTCAAATGACATAACCAAGAGAAAAATACTCCAAAATTTTCAGATAAGTCTACAGATAAATTCTCAGTATACGGAGCAGAAAAATTTAAAAGAGACACGCTAAACGTTGCGTTGGATAGCTGATTATGGATTTAAATAAAAGGAGCCAAGTCTATGAGATGTACAGCTAGAAATTCAAATTTTCAATGGATTTGCAAGACAAAAATATGGAAAGCATAGATCTGGAAAGTGTACGTAATATTGTTGATTATTTTCCAGATGACGTAGACGAGCATTTAGTGAATGAGTGCATTCAGTTAAAATCTTAGTTACTTCAGTCTAAGCCAGAGTCTTACACCTCTTGCAGTGAAATTTTTATGCTAATTTATGAAAAGAAACTTGTTGATGTTTTCCCAAATTGCTATACTATCTTAAAGATTTTTTTAACTTTCCCAATCACCAGCTGTGAAGCTGAGTGCTCTTTCTCCAGGATTTCATACATAGAAAACAAATATAGGTCAACAATGTCGATCCATCGACTAAATCATTTATCAGTTCTTTCCATAAATTGTGATTTAACAAAGGACTTACAATGTGATGAGCAAATAAAGGAATTTGCAGCACAAAAATGCAGAAAGGTTTCTTTAGAATTTATATAACATTACTACACATAACCTGTCAATTTCTTTTGAAATAATGTTGTACAGTTGCTGCTTGTATACACAAATAAAAATAAATAAATAAAAAATAAATATAACCTTTCTGTCTTTGTTTGAATAGTTATTGATATACTATTGAGTATTCTAAAACAAATTATGGAAATGGTGAAGAGGAAGGGGTTTAAAGAAATGCATTAAANATTTTGTCTTATTTCTGTGATGATAGCCGGTCTACCTGTACAGAACGTAATTGGAAATTTTGTGACGAGAGCAATTTGACATAAGAAGCACATCTTTCCAGCACAAGCAATTAAAACTGTATGCATATTCTCTAAATAATTTATTTTTGTTATGCTTAAGAGAGCTAGTAAGTATTCTTGCATATCTATTCATTACTGTTTTACATTTACATTGAACCAAAAATATTTTGATTTTGCGCAAAACGTTTTACATTACAAAAAAAAACTATAGATTTTGATATAACAATAGGTTCTGAGTGTTCTTATTGAAAACATCACAAAGGAATTGAAGGTTTAAAAAATTTTCTAATTTTAAAAACTCATCAGTATTTGATATTTCGAAGTAAATTATTCATATACTAACCTGCATATCGAGGAGACAATGCCATAGGTACATGAGAAGCAGAACCAATGATTATTCCGTAGAAAGCCATAGCCATAACGAGGCAAGAAATAGCAATAACTCGATCACAACCAGAGAAAGGGAGACCCAAAAAGAACGCAGCAAAACCAATTAGACCTAAGAAGAGAAATAATATAGGGTAAAGAAAACCAGGTTTATAAGGGTAACCGACACTGTTCGTAAGCGTAAAAAAACACAATTGCACTCTCGGAAATATCGTTTCATCATTGAGCATCAATATAGTAAAAGTTTTAAGTAAATTTAATGAGATGTTTATCTTTAAATTGCACCATAGTATCGTGTAATGAAGTTCAAGAAGTGAATGGATGTAAAATTTAACACTCTGTACATAATTAAACCGATTTCGATATTTTGATCGATTTCTTTAAAATAGTGCATTTTGTCACTTCTAGAGATATGGTATAATACACAAAATGAGAAAGACACAAAAAGAGATCATACTTCTGTTCTATTTCATAAGACCATATTCAACTGATAGTGGCCACACCCCGTACTTTGAGTGTCAAAAATCCAAATCCATAGTTAAACAAAAGGCTGGTTTGCTTATAGAGAGTATGCTTTTGAGCCGGGCAAGAAATTATCACATTTTAGGTAAACTCTTTGAGAACTTCTTGAGTATTTCAGGTAAGCTCGTCCAACTTAGTACATGATTCATGGTATATTTTTTATTCGCTCATTGTTTATTAAAGCATTAAAGTTAAATTAAGAGTACATGTCAAGAGAAAGTGGTTTCTGTCACCAAAAAAAAAAGAAAAAAATATTTGAAATATGTCTCTTAAATTGCAAGTGTTGTTATTCTTGTTCGTGCCCACTGCGACGCAAGCGCCATCTCTTAGAGTTTTAAATATTTCAATTAGTGTTTATTGAGTTCCGCAATTAAGCGGATGTGTCTATACAACAGTGAAAATATTTGTGTACTAAAAGTGTTAAATAAATAATTAGTGCTTACAGTCCATTTGCAGAGTTATTGAAATACAATTCTCTTATTCTCTTTTAAATTCCAACGAATCTCGATTAAAAAAATTGGAAAAAAGCAACACACTTGAAATTCTTATCAATAAATGCCAATTAAAAAAAAGGAGTAAATCTTAATTTTTCATACTTCGCGTTATTCTTCCTCTTACACCAAATCTTGTCAGATAAATATTAAATATGCACTATTAGAATTTCCATTCCAAAATTATGGTAAAATAACCGGCAGCATTCTGTCCCTCCAATTAACCGTAAAGTTGACGGTAAGAACATTTTTAAACTTTACGGTTTTGAAGCCATTTACGACTAGAATGGTTAAAAAACCATGAATACAAAACTATACGTTTTTCTAATCATTTGCAACTAGCAAGGTTTCAAAACCATAAAAAATAAATTTAACTGGAGTTTAAGACTAAGATTTTCGTTAGGTAATTGGTAGTAGAGTTAAGGCAGGGTTTATCAAATAGAAAAATTATGGCATCATCGCTTGGACATGAACCCTCGTTCTGCCGATCATGAGATCCCTCTATTATAAATTAGCCTTCTCGGCTATAATATGTACCCAGCAGCAAAGAACTAAGTGACTTCATTAGGAGAGAATAGTTGGTGCAATAAAATTCTGGTTGTTTAACCGTATTAGGTACAAACAGTTAATCAACTGTTTTTCTCACAGTTAAAATACCATCTTCTTTCTTTAAGGTTTTTTTAAATGTTTTTTTTTTAGAAATATTTAAAAAATAACAATTAAGTTCATTGTTATTTACCCATTTTTTCCGAGAAATTTCTAATAGTGTATAACTCTTAAGCATACAAGAAGCGTTAGGTAAAATTGAAATGTACGATGCGTATTTGGTAACATTAAACGGTTTTAAAACCAAAAAAAAAATGTTTATTCTTACCAACGACAATCGACCACTTATGAACAATTGCAGATCTTATTCTTGCCACTCTTTTTAGTCTGTCATTAAGCACACAGGAATAAATAAAGAATATCAATTCAAATACGTAAGGCAAAGAAGACCAGGCTCCAACCTAAAAATAACGAAAGTAAAAATATAATTATTATAATTTTTTTTTAAAAATATTGTTAAATATTTATAGTACAAACTATTACAATTGTTTAAATATAAATGTCGCAGATTTGGATAAAGTATAATTGATTACAAACAGTAATTGTAAATAATCGTGATAAATAGCAATCATAAAGTAAATTAATATAGTAGTCATAATTGCAATTATTAATAATTTTGATAACAACTATAATCATAATTACATAAAATCATAATTCTTATTATAGTTATAGCCATAATTGCAAACAATTAAAACTCAAGAACACGACATAAATTACTAGTCATTTCAAAAAATTTGAAATTTTTATTAAACTTTAAGCAATAAGAACAACTTATTTTAATTTTAGTTACATTTTATTGAAATTCTATTTGACTATCCTTCAGTATTTTATAAAATACTGTGCTCGGTTGAAATAACTGCTTCCTGACAGAAATCTTGTAGGAGCAAAGTTTTTTTTTTTTTTAATTTTTTTTGCTTCGCATTATTTTTGCTGAAAACACCATAAAATACCTAAATACTACAGAGGGACCTAAAAAGTTAAGCAACCTTTAGGAATAGCAAACTTTATTAACAACCTTCAGAAATCGTATTTATAAAGAAAAATAACTTTAAAAATACTAAAATTTATTTTAATTAGTTTTTTTTTAATATTTTCCCTTCTCAAACAAATTACTCTGTTTTTTTTTGTCAATTTTTAAGTGTTTTAAACTTTCCTTTTACTTATACAAGGGAGCCATATTTTGAGCCCTGCTCTCAACAATTCTCCTGGTAGACAATCTGCGATATGGGGACGACTTCAAAGTCCATTGCATCTTCCTCGCAGGCGCGTTCAGTTAGAATTGTTAAAATCTACAATTTTCTCTTGCACAGAGAGAACTTACTCTGAGTCGCCTTGCTTTCAGGTGAGTGAAAAAATAATTAAAATTATTACGTAAATTATTATATTAGTCCTATAATGAGCACATTCTTTATGCTCATGCATGTTTCTAGTATCAAACTATAATTTTAAACGTCCACTACCCTTTCACTCATTACATTTACACTTTTACATCTATAATGCCATTCGATGTTCTGCTATAATCTTGAATAAATTAGTTTTTCAACCTAATTGTTTTTTAACATTTGGGATCCTAATCTCCATTTTGTACAATATTCTTATTTGCAAAATATGACTTGCCACTGAAAAAGGAAGAGATTCACATGTTGTGTTACAGTTTGCGTACTTGCAGATCTGGTTACAAAAACCTTTTTATTATTTTACGACCAAAAGCGTCATACAAAATTAAACTTACCATTTCAATGTCAAATTTCAGGACTGTACTCAAAAATGTTGGGACGAGTGTCGTGTAAATGCTAAGAACCCAATACGAAGAAAATCCAAGAATAAAGTAAGCCCACACATGTATCGATTTCAGAATGTACTTCCAAGGTACGACTGTTTTCTGAAAATATAAAATTACAGCAAAATAGGTAGACATTATTTTGATAGCATAGCAATGAATCAAAAAAGCTTTTTATTGATTCCTTTCACAGTTTGCAAAGTTTTCAAAGTTTTCGGATTTAGCCCCAGAACCTGTATCACATACACTTTATCCGAAAATAATTTTAATTACAGCATTGAAAGTCACTCTTTTTAAGGTAGTTTTTATATCATTTCGAGAATTTCGAATTATTACTTTGGCATAATAAAAGAATTCGATAAATCCAATATTATTTTAAGAATAAATATTTCAATATATTTTAATAAATTATACTTACTGGTTGAGGTAAAATCACTCTACTTTTTAAAATTCGAATCATTTCGTTATAAGTGATGTATGGATGAGTCAATGGTGACTCAAAAATGAAGGCAACCCATAATATACAATAAATAAATCCCATTCCACCTATAAAAATAATAATAACCATTAGATTTTGGATAAATGGAATGGGTTTTGAAAAACATCGAAAGATTTTAACGGAAATATTTACAAAAAGTGACATAACCACTTGAAATTTTTTTAACTATCCATGCTTTGATAGAAAAATAATTAATTATTTAAATCACTTTATGCAAATATTCCCGCATATACGCTAAATTTCCATTTAAAATTAATTAATGAATTTCATCCTATTTTATATTCTCCATTTTTTCTCAGATTCTTTATAGCCCCCATATAAATAGAGAGATCAAAAAATCAAAAGTCTGATACTTATTTAAATATTATTTTCTTGATCATTGGTTCCCAAATGGGGTTCCGCGGAATTCTAAGGTACCGTGGAAGAGTTAAAGAGGTTCCGATAAAACATTTTTGAAACCTGTAATTATGTCTGTATCTAATCAGTAATTTAGTATTTGCTTAATACATCGGCTGTCTTTACGAAGCAAATTGTCAATAAAAAGAAATGGCTCTATTTTTTTTTTAAAAAAGCGACAAAAAAAAACATTTTATTTAGTGAATTATGAGAAAAACATGCATTTATAAAAATATGCAATAGTATTTCGTATCGTGCTTTTCAAATCAAAATATAATATTTAAATTCGTTAAAGAAACATGTTTTCAAAATTATCCCTTTTAACGCAATAATTTTAAGCACTTCCTTGGGGCATTTTTTTAAGTTTTCATTTCAATGAAATCTAAAATCCATAATTCAGTTTAAAGTAATTGACCATAATTCGACAGCAAAGTTAATTTTACAGAATAAATGGTTTTTATGCCATGCTTTAAGGTATTATGATAAAATTACCATATCTTACCTCATTTGCCAAGTTTTGTCACATATTTGTTACATTTACCAAAAAATTACCTTCGGTAAAAATTACCGAACATTTTGCTGTTCCTATACAGACAAATATACGGTAAATTTTACCATATTCTGGTACTCTTGACCATACATTCTCAGTGCAAGACTGTGAATTCAACTGTCAGACATAAAACCTATTTGAAGATTGTTAGTGATAAAACTATGAAAACATTTCATTCATCTTTTTAAATATTTTCAAAATAAATCAGTCTTTTATTAGTTAATAGGATCATAGTTGTGTTCATATATTCTGTAAAATCAGGGTTCCGCTGTAAGAAAGTTGGTCATTTAGGGTTGCGTAAACGGAATTCATTAATAATTTTATTCACTATGCTCAATACACTTAGTAAAAATTGTGTTTTATCCTTGATCTCTTAAATATTAAACTTATATTTAACCGATATGCAATTATGCATATTACAAAATGATTAATCAATAAAACAAGGCTTTTCGTACTTAATACTGTACGATCTTGATTCCTCTTTAACTTTAGGGTTGTGTTCAAAAATATAAAGACCGGGTACAAAAGCAAAAGGTTTTTATAAAAGTCAACTAGAGTTGCGAATAAATATATATTTGCATCTAAAAATTCAAGAGCCGTGCACAAATATACAAAAGTTAGATATGAAAATCAAAGTGTTTGATTCAAGACTGTAGAAGTGATGAACACTAAGCAAATCATAAATGGTACACTGCACTACAAAAAATTCCAGATCAAATTGCAGTTTAAATTCCTTCTACTTTGAGTACATCATCCGTAAAACTAATTTTTAATCGTTAAAATATAGTATCCCGATTTATACAGTAATATTTCTTTAATCGGAGTGATTCCGTGATTTTACAGTAATTAATGCTGTAAAAAATACGGTTTATCAGATTTTTTGTTCTATAACATGTTCCAATGATAGTGAATTATGGTAAAAAGTAAAGGCAGCCTGAGTGCCGGTACTTTTTACCATAATTTGATCTTTAATTTTTATAGTGCGAATATCATGGGGGTAGGACAATTTAGATCTCGAAAAAAAAATTTTACTCATTGTAAACTTGTTTTATAAAATTCTCTTATTCAATGAGAGACAAAGCTCTTTTAGCATAGAGCAAGTGAATTCGGTATAAATTATGTTTTCAAAGTGTGAATTTTTAAAAAAAAAAAACCTGTTTCACTTACCAAAGATATAGAATATATGCGACCATCCCAGATTTTCGTTTTTACAGATTTTTCCAGAAATTAAAGTTCCTAAAAATCTCCCAAATGGCACTCCACTACCTATAATGCACATTGAATAAAACCTCTCACTTAATGGTATCCATTTTCCAATCAATGTGTTAAAAGCTGGAATGACGATTCCCTAAAAAAGGAATACACTATTTAAAAGTTTGAAATATGTTCTGCAAAAATAACATCTAGACTGTTGTGTTCAAAATTCACATAAGAATGATATATGATTTCGTTTATTTAATGACAGTGTTACTACTTGCCGAAATAAGCACATATGTTACAAATTAAATCATTTAATTTGAAAATCTCTGCAGTTCCTTTTTAGCATATTTTTGCTTATTGTAAGTATAACGGTAAACTAAACCACACTTTTCTGTCAGAAACCTTATCCAATCAAATCATCTATAGTATGCCTATGTAAAGAACTCCCCATTTGTCTGGAGAATCGGCGGTGATTATGATTATAAGGTTAAACTATTTCAAATATAAAGTTTTGTCAATATATAAAAAAAGTCTAGATTCGGGACGACGAGAAAAAATCAGAGGAGAGAGGAGCTCTCCTCTGTGAAATGTGCTATTTATCGTTATCATCGAAGTAGATAGACTTAGAGTTTGTGGGGAAGGAAATTTTTTCTGTAGACAATATATAATTCTTTCTTTCTATTTACATTTGTCTGGCATATTTTACTGGTTTAATAGTGAAGTTTTGAACCGCTTCATAATTGCACAGATAGCTCATAAATCTAACTTTTGCATGCAATTCTTCAATTTAAAAACGTTACATTAAAGGGCCATCAAAATGCTGACCACGAGCATTTGGCATGTTTGCTTACAAACACAAATTAACTCTAAAGTTTTCAAGAGCATGCTATACAGAGGATGATTTATAATGACTAAAACAATTTTCTATCAGCTGCATTTGAAATTTAAAATTTAATGAAAAGAAAAAAATTAGCTACGATAAACCAAGAACAAACTGTGCAGTTTTAAGTGCAGCAGAACGTTTTCAAATATTCACGTTTCAGAACAAACTATGACAGAATTACTCAAATGAATTGTAATCTCAAAGAAATTTGCGTGAAATTTAGCCTCCTATTAGATATTTAATTCACTAAGAAAATCAAGATAATAAAAATAATTCTTACTTTAAGGGACTTTTTATAATATGTCAGCACAATCTATGATGCCTGTTTTAAAAATTAATACAAAATCAAAGTAGCTCCATCATATAAATTCTTCCTGAATCTGGTTTCTTTAATCTAATGATGAAGTTACTCCGTGAATTTTGGTAATTAGGATTACGTTTATAGGCTTTGAATTTATGCGGAAAAAAACCATGATGGATTTTGAAAAGTGGTCAGATAAAAATGAACTCGGATCAAGTCATCTCTCAATTTTTCATATTCAGTTCTAAACATCGTGACATAAATATCAGATTAATTATTAACAAAAACCAAAAGCTTTACATATTTGAGTATGGTCTTTGATTCAAAACTAAACTGGAATGGTCAAATAATGAAATCTGTTGCTTGTGGTGAAAATAGAACTAAGATTCTCAAACGCTTGACTCACCAGCCTGGAATTACACTCAGGATGACTCTTTACACCACCAATAAGACCAAAGGTTGAATATGATGTGGTATTGAGACCCTTATAACTAATTCAGAGAAAAATTGAAACAAATTATAAATTTCCAAACTCCTATCCTAAGACCTATAAAGAGATCTACGTCAATTGCCGCTATGGAGCTCCAATATTGTTTCCAGTCACTGTGGAACCATAGACGAACAGTGCTTTCAAATTTTGCCGAAATATACACAAAGAACTTATTCTTGTATAAAATAAGTTCTTTGCGTGAATTACACAATACCCTCGATTTCACATCTTCAAATCATTATCCCAAAAATCCTTGGTATCAAATGAGAATTATAAATTTTAGGGGGGGGGGCATTGGGACTTTATCTCTGATGATAAAGAGAAATTTCACTCGAATTGAAATGTATTAGCGAATTGTATTATCGAATGAATTGTATTAGCTATTATTTATGAATGATCCCAAGATGAAGTTCTGGTAGTAGTTCCAAACTAACGGTTTGGTAGGAATTTCTCTCGAATTGAAATGTATTGTATTGAAATGTATTCATGAACGATACCTAGATGAATTTCTGGTACTAGTTCCAAACTAACGGTTAGGTTGAAGAGGCTTCGTCTAGAACTATTTCTATTAGCTGAACTCCCAAGCAAGTTAGTAATTTAGATGGTGAAGTAAATGTCATTTAATTAGCTTCAAGCCAAAATATAACAGTATGAAATGTGAAATGGTGTATTTTTTACTGATTCCTAGGTAATAATTATCATTTCATCAAATGTGATAAGAATGGAAAAAAAATTTTAATTTGTTGACCATCAAAAACTACACTATTTTTGAAGTTTAGTGGTATTGGTTTCCTAAGCAGATCACATTAAAACAATATATTTATATCTTCTTTTTCTATTTTTCTTAAACGAATTTTTGGAAGTTTTTGGTGTTTTTTAAGACACTCGGTTAAATGAGCAGAGCAAAGGTTTTTAAGTCTAACGGAGGAAGTTTTATCCTTTAAAAACAAAATAAGGAAATTTAAAATGTCCTTTTTTCGATATATTCCTTATGCATTTTTAATATATTTGTGATATGTCTTAATAATATGAATATTCCTTTCAAAATAAATATTAGTCTCAATTTTTACCGAAATTATTTATTTATATTTATTTTTTTATCTATTTATTTTTTTACGTTTTAAAGCGTCCAACCGATTTTTTGCGTGCCTTATTATAGCTCCAGCAATTCAACGTCTACCTACTACAACAATCACTAGGATATTTATTTTTAGGAAAACAGAACACTGCTAAATACTACAATCCTTGTATTTTGAAATTCTAAATGAAAAGGCAAAAATAAAGCAGTCTTTTTAAAAATAAAAATTTATGTGAATCTAATTTGAAAAAAATTTTAGCTAATAATTTGATTTGAACACTTGATTTTAGATTCTCGAAAAACAACATTAGTAACACCGTATTATGTTCAAAAAATTTTTCAATAATTACATTTTTCCAAGATAAATTACGATTAACTTCACGTGCACCAATTATCTAATATTAAATTTTATTTTTTTGTTGCTTGTAATTAAAATGATAATAGGTAGGCTGTAATGCAAATCAGAAAAGAAAGAAATAAAATCTTTACTTTTAAAAAGTAAATGATTAACGTACTAGTCCAGCTCCTTTGAAAATTTGCACGACACTTAAACCGATTCCACTTGAATGAGCAGCCGCAGGCACGAGAACTGTACACAATGAAGAAATGAACACCCCGCTCAGAAGAAGATATTTAGCACTTAATCTTTCACACAATATCACACCTAGATATTGAGTTGCCAACAATCCATAAAAGTAACCGGCCAAAATAACTCCTTGCATAAGAGTAGATATCGTAAAAGGGCCATCCTAAAAAAAAAGGTTATATTATTGTTTAAATGTTTAAAAAAATGACACATAGAATATTGAATTTCTACAAATTGACTAAATCTTCAGGTGAACGTGGTATCTCAGGAGTAAGAACGTTCACCTTCCAATGAGGTGAACCGGGTTCGAATCCCAGCGATAGCTGAGCGATACGTGAAATATCCTCAGTGGTAGATGGATCATGGGTTAGGATCCCTTTGCTGTCAGAATAACCGTGTGAGGTTCTCGTGGTCTAAATCCCCATGTAACGCTAATGCGGGTTAGTTTCCTCAAAAAGTCTTCCACGAAGGCTAATTTCTTTCAATACTTGATCCAGACATTACCTTGTTTTCCGGATTTGGTTTAAAATTACAAGACTGAGAAGTTGAACATTAGAAGTAGTTAACCGAAAATTGGGTCGAATGTTCAACGACAATTACATAATGAAATAAATGTTCACGAATTTTAAAATTAAATGCTGATAAAATATGCATCTTCTCCAGAAATTGAAAAAAGAAGTCCTAAAGGTATCGCTTTCCTACAAAATATTTTTGCATCCTTAATTTAGCGGCACCTGTAATATTTATGTTTTTTATTATTCTCTGCCATTATTACGTTTTTGATATTAGCTATTTTTTAATACTTCCAAAGCGATTTCAAAGCTAAAAGAGTTGCTTCTGAATTAAAACGTAATTCTATGTTACCTTAACACGCAACATTTTATGATAAATTTATTTAAATTGTTGTCTAAATTTATTAATCTTTTTAGAACTATTATTTTTGTGGTGCAAATTAGATTAATATACTATTACAAATAACAGTCAGAAGATTCATTATATGATTAACGTAACTGGTAGGTAATCGAAATGATACTTGTACTAAAATATAAAATCCATAAAAAAGTAGTTTTTTTTTCATTTATATTCAAATATTTCTTAATAATTAATTTTGAAAATTATCGAAATTTTAGTGATAAATAACTGCTTCTCTTAGATCTGAACAAGTGCGAATTTGATAAATTATTGTTTGGAAGATTTTATCTTTAACGCAGAAAGTGACATCATGGATTCATGCTGTACTTAGTAACCCTAAATTATTAAAATGCTAACCATTGTATTTTTCACTTATTTTGGCTTAAATTCATAAAAAAAATTACATAAAACACCTTTAATAAAAAATTTTGCTTCAAATGATTGAATTGCATCGTAGGGACTACAAGGATTTTATTTGCTAACTTATGTGCTTGTTTATTAATATAAAAAGTTTCCAAGCATATGTTTCTTCTTAAAAATAGTCTTGATTATTATGATTTAACTTATCGCTTATGGGCTGCATTAGCGGCACAACTCAAAAAATCATGTTTTGAGATAAGTGGGCTTAAAGTTTTCCTTGCTAAAGAAAATGCATAAGAAATGCTTTCGTTTGCTTAAACGAAGATTACCTTCAATTTGAATTGTGATTTGTGCTGGTATTGCTGCTGAAAGAATGTGTATTTTCATATTTACACCTGTTCTCAGTCCAAAACATGTTTTTTGAGTTGTACCACTATTGCAGCACATGAACGATATGTTAACATACTTTTTTGTGTTTTAACATTATTAATGAATAAAAATTAAACAATAATTTAATTTAAGTAAATAAATGCGCAAATACAAGCAGAGATTACCTCATCGTCTGATCTTACATTAACTGAAGAATTGGTCACTGAGGAATCGTAAGAGCACGACTGACCTTCAGAGATATCAGTTAAATTTTTCCAATTAACCATACACACGATACCAACGCTTATGTCCACTCTCATCATATTCAGAACTGTGAAACTAAGGAATCCCATAAAGGTCAAAACATATCTAATCGGCACATGTCCTAAAAATAATAAATCATAAAATTCGAAATAAATTCAAAATAAACAATGCTAATAATATTGTTCATTTTGAATTTATTTTAAGCGAAATCATGAATCATGAGATTTTAAATAAACAATACTTGTACAAACATAAACAAGATTATCTAGCTTTGGCGAAAAACCACACCTAAAAAAATCTTTCATTATCAGCAAGCTAAAGACCAAGCTTGGTACACGGAGAAGAAGAAAATTACCATCATGTATGGTAATGACATTTTTGATTAAAAAATATTTTAGAAATAGACGTAGTTATTGGTTAACTGGGTATATATATATATATATA